TACAATCACTTTTATAGCACCTCTCTCAAAACACTTTTGTCATTAGTTTTCATCCATGTACTTTTGACCTACCACATCTTTAGAACCACATTTTTCAATGTGAAAAGTGTCAATCAGCCAAGTTCTCAGCCCAAAGTGACAATTTGTGACTCTGGTTCCTTTCTTTCAAGTAAGCAAAAAAAAATAACATACTGTCTTACAAGACGTATGTTCTGGTCTGATTTGTGGACAACATTTTTCATTTGCAAGACTCTTTCTGTTGAGACAAATGATTATTTAAAACAAAAATAGCTTTAAATAAGATTGTTATTTAGGATGTTTCAAAGCCCATTTCTCCCATAACAAAGTCACAGACACTTAATGCCTCTGTTAGAATATTAAGAACTGTTTTATAATGCCACGTCTACAAACATTGAGCAAGATATATACAAGATGACGGTACACGGATTTGATCATCCATCGTCAAAAAAATTTTATACAACAAAAAGTTTTCCAACTCAATAATGACCTATAAACTGTGTGAAGTGCGTCACAAGAATGTTCATGATAAACATTATAGATTAGGCTTTTGTTACTGGGCTCTATCCAAAGCTCATTCACATTAATACAAATGTAAGTCCGTTTGAGTGATGTGTCTCCTTTGGCCTGGTTCTCTACATTTGCCTTAAATAGATTTTCATCTGCTTCTCGGAGCAGACACACGAGCGCTGCTCCAACAGACTGACTAATTGAATGATTCTGTGCAGTCGGCTTCAGGAACGACTGGTCACGGTGACACGGAATAAATCAGAGGCTTTTGGCTTCGTACAGTCGAGTCACGCTGAGTAAAAAACTTTTGAAGACTCTGGAATTCCATTTTGAGCTGTTCTGGCCGTATACAGTACTTTATAGACCTAGAAATACACTGACAGCCTTTAAGCCTGAAAGAAGTCTCAAATATGTGGGTTTTTCATTTGCACTGAAAAAGTTTACTTATCCTCTTTCTCCATGTACAATGCCTCCAAGTATGATTCTAACTGGGAAGAATGTAAGTGACATAGCAGCTTAAAAAAGTTGTGAAGTGTGTGTGAAAGAACTGAACAATATTAATGTGGAAAAGGTAACAATATCTTGTAAGCATGTGCAAAATAATGATCAATGATAAAACTAGTATCGTTACTACTGAAATTGTTTTCAACGCACAGGACACAATTTGACCTTTCTCTATCATGTCAGAATTTTGCTTTGTTTTTAAAATGATTCTAGTTCAGTTTATGAATTAACTGATCGAAACAACAAAGATACAACTAAAATAACAAAAAGATTTGAGTCTACTGCACAACACCCTGATGATGGAACACCGTCCTACTGCACATGTGCCGAAACAAAACACTCATTATTTTATCTTGGTTTGGTTTATTTCTGTCCAAATGAACTTAAAGACAGAACACTTTATTTGGATAAAATAATATCAAATACTAGTCATCTATTGTTACATGTTATCTGTCCGTCCATAAAGTCTCCAGAGCTTTTACTTTCCAATTCTGTCGTACGTCACACCCAGTGGGGGCGGGTTTCGGCTCAAAAGTGGCCAAAATGACGTGCGCTGACATGCTTGCAATACCACCCCGGGCCGATGGGGGTGGACCCAGAAGTAGAATTAGCCAATGCTAACATATAGCATTGGCAGACCTCTCGAAAATGTCTTTACAGGATGGACCAAAAGCTAGCTCTTGGCCCAAAGCTCCGTTCCACATGTGTGTCAATGCTGAGGGGAGTGAATTTTTTTGGTCCTCTCTAGTTTACTTGCTGTGAATTTTTGAAGTCTCTCGTTCAAATGAATGGAGCTACGCCGGCTGACGCATGCCCAGATGCGTTTTTTCACACTTTTCTTGTGGGCGGGACCACTCGCGGCCATTTTGGATAGCTCCAGTAGAGCACATTTTTTGGCCCATTTGTTTGAACGGCGGAGATAGGCGTGACTCTGTCCGTTAATATATACAGTCTATGGTCACACCCTGTCTATGCAGTGGAAGCTTTTTATTTTCATGAATTGTTTTGTGTTTTTAATAATATGTTTAAGGTATTCATATTACTTCAGGTGTTTAAGCAAAGTTACATGTTTTACACTAAGATTTTTATTTCAACACTTTGATTATCCAACAATTGTCAGTGTCTGTATCGACCCTAAAATAAACTTTGGAAATACTTTGAACCTTGTTGCAGCTGATCATTGTCTATTCAGGAGTATTGAGATTGGCTTTGAAATGTATCGTGCCAACACTAGTACGAGTACACTGCTACACTGTCAACATGAGGGAGTTAAAATACAGTCTCTGGAAACCACTCCACAACTTAAATGAAAGTGAATGCAAACGCTGCGTTTTCCTCTCCACAAATGACCGTAGTGTGATTAGCCTTGTTTTCACTTCTCCGGCGCTGGCAGCAGTGAGCACCAGGCTTAACGTGAGGCTGGCCCTGGCAGACCAGCGCAGACCAGAGTAGGACCTGTAAACAAACCCAAATAACCTTCCTCACGCAAACTGTGGCTCCAGCCTGACCAAGTGTTTCTTTGAGGGGAAAATGAGGCTGTTTCTTCAGAGATTTCTCGTAATAATAGACTCTCGCTGCCAAAACGGTCAGGTTTTCGCAAAAGATAATGACAAATAATTGCCATTTTAATGTGAAATGAGTGAGACACCTAATTATTGTAGATTATGCTCATCTACTGTGTATGTGCAAAATAAATAAAATAACTATTATACTTTCTATCATTTAAAAAAATGTACCAAAGCTTAGTTCAAAGCTATAGTTGTGATGTGAAGATTCCCCAGTCTTTTTTGTGTGCATTTAATTTCTTTCTTTGACTGTGGCAGTAATCTTTGCCTTGTTATTTTTGAGATCCTTAAAATGATGCAAATTCAGAAAAGAGTGACGTACAGTTATATGGGAACTGTACGTCCTAGAGGCATTGAAGGATGGACAAATGTAGAGGACAAATAAAGTGTACTCTAACAAATGTGATGCACAAAGTCCCCTGCCAGAAACTTAGGAGTTATTTTTGATCGCACCTTTAGGATGGACAAGCAAATTAATTCAGTAATCAAAGCCAGCTTTTATCAGCTCCGGGTCTTGAGCAAAGTGAAGGCTTACATCCCACCGACTGACTTTGAGCGAGTTATCCACCTTTTTATTTCTTCAAGATTAGATTACTGCAACTCGTTGTATTGTGGTCTGGACCTCGGCTCTTTAAAGCGCCTTCAGCAGGTGCAGAATGCTGCTGCTCGCTTACTCACAGGGACACGTAAGAGAGAGCACATCACCCCCGTGCTGGCCTCACTTCACTGGCTCCCTGTTACTTTCAGGGTTGATTTTAAGATTCTGATGCTTGTTTTTAAACTGTTTGGCCCCTGTATATCTGTCGGAGCTGTTATCTTTGTATGCTCCGGTCAGTGCGGTCCGAAAACCAGATGTTGTTGAATGTGCCCCGGTCTCGTCTCAAAACTCGAGGAGACCGAGCCTTTTCTGTTGCTGCCCCCAAACTGTGGAATAGTCTACCTCTGTTCATCAGAGCAGCTCCTTCATTGGAAGTTTTTAAGTCTAGTTTAAAGACATATTTTTACACCTTGGCTTTTAACACCAATTGAGGTTTTACCACTTTACTTTTACATGTATGTGTGACAAAGCAGGTTCCTTTGTCCCTTTTAATGCCATTTTTATTGCATGTATTACCTGTTGAAGAGGGTGTGTCTTGGACAGCCATTTTTGTTTTGTAGGCAAACCCATGTGGGCGGAGCCACAATGTTAAAAGCTCACAGGTGAACCTCGTCAAGGGGGAGTCACACCCAAGGGACAGGATTGCTTGTTGTGCAAAATAAATCTTTTGGCAACTTTGAATGTGACTTCTGCTGTCTCACTTTGACACTCGGGCCAGCTTCCCCACATATGGTGGCAGCGGTGGGATCCAGGCCAGTGAGAGGCAGGAGAACAGGAGAGACAACACAACACCTCAAATGGAAGTCAACACAATGAGGAAAGAAACATGGAAGAAGATTTTGATCACCAGTCAGAGGTGCGGAAAGCAGTGAAGAGTTTGCAGAGAGATGACCCCTGCTGAGAGGATGGCATCTTGTGTGGAGCTCTACTGTGGAAGGAGCTGGAGCTGTTTTGGCTTGCAGAACCTATTTTTGAGTTTGGCCGGATGAGGCTGAAGATTGCAGCGGATTCTGGTGGTTGCAATGAGCAGCTGGATTGAAGCTGTGGAGCGGTGTTCCGGTACAAGTGTGTGCAGATGGAATCACCTGAGGAGTTCGGACAGTGTTCCGGATTGAGGACCCCACTGTGGGGTAATGTTCAAGAGGCCGGAATTGTTGGGTCTGCTTGAGACTGTGCTGGGGTGAATTCTTCCAAGAACTGAGGTACTGTCAGAGGAGACCATGCTCTTGACAAGAGGAGCATCTGGGACTTTTGAAGTACCTTCATTATTTAAAAATGTTTCATCTGTAATGTATGTAAATGTAAATGTATTGACTTCTGTCTCTGACTCTGGGGAGTAACAGTTATAAGAGGGGGGGTGTGTGACAAAGCAGGTTCCTTTGTCCCTTTTAATGCCATTTTTATTGCATGTATTACCTGTTGAAGAGGGTGTGTCTTGGACAGCCATTTTTGTTTTGTAGGCAAACCCATGTGGGCGGAGCCACAATGTTAAAAGCTCACAGGTGAACCTCGTCAAGGGGGAGTCACACCCAAGGGACAGGATTGCTTGTTGTGCAAAATAAATCTTTTGGCAACTTTGAATGTGACTTCTGCTGTCTCACTTTGACACTCGGGCCAGCTTCCCCACAGTATGTGTATGTATTTTATACTGTTTTATTTTTATCATTCGTGCCTGTGAAGCACTTTGGGCAGCTGGTGTTGTTGTAAATGTGCTATATAAATAAAGTTGACATTGACATGGCATAATGTATTTTATTCCCAGCCCTGTTCCACATGCTAATTCCCTCTTGTGTCTGTCTGTGTAGGCGACGTGGCCATGCTTAAGGACGTGGGCCGCGCTATGGTCCTATACAAACGCACCGTGATGCCCTACGCCGTCTACTGCCGCAAGCGGAAAGGCTCCAGCGACGAGGAGGAGGTCAAACAATTCGCCTCTCTGGTGGGACAGTTCTGTGCAGAGCGCATCCTGCTCTATAGATCCTGAACCACCACTGTCTGTGTCTGTGTCTGTACAAGTGCATTCTGCTGCTCAACACACACTGTATTTATTTATTTATCCTATAAATAAATAATAACACAAACTATACCTACACGCAAATCACACTACCCAATAACTTGAAACCACGCAATGCTGGCACCATTTTACGCACGTCGTCAGCTGCTTTTTCTCACATGTATTAAACGGTGGTATTGCAATAAATTGGGAGGAAAATACATGATTACATTTATAACTTTACATTAATCAAAGGTGTATGCTAACATGAGTCAATGGTGTAAACAAGAGGTGTCCAAGTCTTTTAGTCGAGGGCTCAGTATTAGTTTACTTGTCAAGGGGCCGACAACATGGTTTGTGAAACTGTTTTTACTGGATTTGGGCTGTTCTGGGTTTTAAAATGGGGCATGATATTATATCTATATTAAGTTATGCTACAGTTAAATTAGCACCATGTAAGCCTATGGGATTGTGTGACACAGAAAATATCCATTTGTACAAATGAAGTTAAGGACTAGATTCCAAGTGTTCTGATCTAGTGTGGAGACTCTATTGGTGGAGCTGAAGTTGGCTGGATGAAGTTATCTACTCTGAGGGCCACATACAGCAGGCCGCATTTGGCCCCTGGGCCTTAGTTTGGACATGCCTGGTGTAAAACTAACAATCTTTTCCTCACCTAGCAAAAGTGGCTTTTGTGTTTTCCTCAAAAACATGTAGCTGGATTTTGAACTACAGTAACTTCAAGAATCCCATATGAATATTATTTTAGAGTAACCTTTCCACACTGCTGCACTGAGATGCAGCTGGATACTGTTGTTTTATCCCATATTTTGAAACTTTATTGTCACTGTTTTTGTTGTCACCAGCTCTACCTTATGCTTCAGTATTCCATTGAACAGTCTCTTTCCTTTTATTGTGAATGAATAAAGTGTTATGACTTTTTCAGCCAGAAGGGAGCGCTTCATTTTTATTTGACATATTTATGTATTCTCCGCTTTTCTTTGAATATTGACGCTGTTATTTTTGGTAACCAAATAATAAACGGTTGTATATTCCCTGTAAGCTGTAAGTGTAATTCTTTTTGCAATTAGACTTTACAACACAAACTATGTCCTGTGGGAACTTAGAGTTACGAGTGTTTTGCTTGTACTATCTCCAAATGCACACTGCAATCAAAAATACCTTTATCAGCCTATCATGATCTATTTAATTGTAGTCTCTGGGGTGATTCAATGACTGCAATATGTGGCTTTGTTTTTCTTTCCTGTGCATTGCTCCTCTGCCCCGTACTAAACTTCAGCTATCGTGTGCCATTGCCTTCACTTTCTCTCTTCTGTTGCCTAGGGACACAAGGTGGGTTAGGGTTAGTGGGGGTATACTGTAACACCCCGCTGGCAGCATGCCCTAAATCCTCTATAAAAAGCCTCCAGCCGGCCCAATATACAGCAGCAAGGATTTTAACAGGCACCAAAAGGAGGGAACACATAACTCCAGTGTTAAAATCACTCCACTGGCTTCCTGTGGAGGATCGAATCAAATATGAAATCTTTCTGTTAACATACAAGGCCACAAAGGCCTTCCTCCAAGACACGTTAGTGTCATACCAACCAAACCGAGCACTGCACTCACAAAACGCCAGACTTCTGGTTCCTAAAGTGTCAAAAAGCACAATCTGAGACAAGGCGTTTAACTACCAATGTCCTCCTGTATCAGCTCCCCATCCATGTCAAGGAAGCAGACAGTCTCTACATGTAAGGCCAGGCTGAAAACATTCCTCTTAAAATTTTCATTTACAGTATGTATGGCTTGGTAGGTAAGACTTACTTAAAGTAAAAAAAAAAAAAAAACAACCAGATTGTCAGTTGTCGTCATTATGACTTCAGCTGTAGTCCGTTCATTTTTATTCACCCGCAGCCTCTTTTACCTGTGAACTGGTCGCCCCCAGGCCAGGCTTGTGGGATCTTTCCTCCTGGAATAACAGCCTTAGTCCTCGTTCTACAGCCTCAGTCCTGGATCTAAAGCCAATCTATCCGTGGGAGAGGATCCCACGACTTCTCAAATGGAATTGTATAATCTACTGATTGAAAGCTTAAACTAAGGCCACATTTTTATACATTATCAAATGTGTTTTACATTTTAAATCTTTTCTTCTACAGTATTTTGTTTTATGGAGTGACTACCTTATATTCTTTACAGGTTTACATTACATTAAAACTGCAGAAATGCTTTGCAGCTGATGTAATACTAACCTGACATGGACATTCAAAACATGTCATCTGGTTCTCTGCCTACAATGCCCTAGTCTGTTTAAATTTATACAGTTTGCCAAAGTATATGTCATCCCAAATATTATTATTGTGGGTCATTAGCTACACTTGGAGACATGTTAGCTCAGTGCAGCCTGACCTAACTCCCGCCACCAATCATTTTTCATCTTCTGCAAAAACAATTACAAAAACTCTCTAGATTTAAAAGTTGTCCTTGAAATGTGGGGCACACTCTGACAGGCTAATTCACAGCAAAGGGAGCAGCCATTTTGAATGTGTTTCTCCCACATTAGCCATGCTTTTCTCTGGCCTTGCACACTCCTGGCACTGTCACTGATGGTTAGTCTTGGTGGATACTGTACATAGCAGTATAGCGCCAATGCTGTTTAAACACTTTCATTCAAAACAGGATTTTTGTCGCAAACTTTTCTATTCTTTCTGTTGTTATTAACTTTGAAGGTTGCGATGACCAGCCCTGCTGCCGTTCAGCCAAAGTTCAGGAGTCAAAGCCTGCTGAGGATCAGAGATAATGCTCCATGAGTCCGTGGACTATTTTGAGTTTAAGACTTGGTGCCAACAGGGTGGGGTCACCAGACACAATACCAAATGTAAGATTATAGGCTTACTGGGATTGCAGAGTATCTGGTAAAATTATTAGCCATTTCGGGAAGGATTTATTCTGAATTTGACATAAAAAGAATAATGCCAGTTTGGAAAGTATACAGTGTGTAATGGTCAGCCAAAAATATCTGAACAAATGCAATGTGATTACTGATGAAGTGTGATTTTTATATCCCCAAAATGTGATTGGTCCATGCATGCACCATAAATTGTGGTGGAGGGCAGCTGAAAAATCTTCCCTGGTAACAGTCAAAATAACTGTAATTCCTAATATATGAAACAGAATGTGAAAATTCCACTACATATCTACTAAGGTCTAATTATTTTTAATTTCCATACATTTATTTTTATTAGCGTCTCAGAGGACTTCATAAAGTTGTCAATTTGCCAAAAAAAAACCTGTTCAAACACAGGAAATAGAATAAGAATACATACATATGAGCCATTGGTCCATAGGGTAACAGGACGACCAATGTCCATAAATGTTAATAAATGTGCTTAAATGTTTAAAAAAAAAAGTGTGGTGACAATGTTCGAAAACACATGCATTAAGTTGGCTCGTAGAAACTTAAGTAGATAAAGAATACTTTGGCGGGTTTGTGAATCTAACCATTATCAATCAGTGAACTTGTACTTGTAGACTCATGATTGCCAAACCTCATGGAAGAATGTAGTAAAGTTCATTGGTGTGTGTGTGAGAAGGATGTTTAGGAAAAGGTGGTGGATAGAAGTAGATGATTTGCTTACCAAATATGCCATTTATAGTGACCGTTTCAGTCGAAAGTTCCTCCCTTTACGACTTCAGTTTCCCCTTTGTTGTTGTAAAGTGGAGACATAAAAGTACCAGTGCACCACAAAGGGGAAAAAAAGGACGTCTCCGAAATCGAGGGAATTCCTGAGGTTTCATCCATTTCTCCAAACAGTGCACTCAGAATGTGTGTGGATTTGATACAGAGAATATGTTTACAATATGTGCCATATTCTGTGAGTTCCACCACATTCACTCAACTGCATGGTTTTAATCGAAACTAAGACAATATACTGTGAGTGTAGTGGCTTGCCTTTCCACAGATCCGACTATTAACTTGTTCTCATTACCTGTTTGTCTTCTGGATATAAGAGTCAAAGACAAAAGTTACAGAACCGCTTGAATGATGTGTAGGTCGATTTCTATCTGGGGAGATTTTCAGCCGAACACTTGCAACATGCTGTTTTCATAGACACAAACAATTATTTATGTCCACTACAACAAAATAAGGAAGAAATCAATATCAATATTTAGTAAAAAAGATCCCTATTTGTCCCAGTGAGGAAGTTTTGGTGTTGCTCCCAGAATAAGAAAAATAGATAAAGTGACGTTCACTGGATATTCTGAAATTACAATATTGCACATATTTGCAGTATTTACTTTTTACAGATTGGATGACATGTACAGGCTCAGCAGTTCTCATTGTACAGTCTGACAGCAGCAGGGAGGACCAATGAAAGTATTTTGTTTATGTTCTCTTATGGTCTACTGCAGTGACATTGACAATTCCACATCAAAAATATAACATTATCCACTGGTAAAGAAAAAAATGTCAATTTGTAAATTGTTGCCTTGACGGAGTAATTATTTGTGTTTATTGTGTTTTAGAATCTGTTTAAAATAAGATACAAAATTTTGATAGCCATCAGTGGAACTTGTGCCTCCTCACTCCAATAACTGTCTTCATTGTTTTCATTGTTTACCCCTTATTTAGACTGCTTTAGACTTGAAACCATTATCTAGTCCCATTAATGCCTTTCAATCTGCAGTGATGCCATCCTACCATCTCTTGTTGCACGGCAGAACCTCCATCCCCGGTGTTTCTTATGCATCGTATCTTTTTCAGTCCCCTTGTTCTACAGCATATGACTTCCTGTTCAGCAAACCGGCTCCATGTCTGCGGCCAGTGGCTCGTTGGGTGCAGCCTGGTCTAATCTTTGTGAGTTTCATGCTGGTTTTGTGTTGTGGCGTTTGGGCCTGAATGTAAACAGCCCGTGCCGCATGTTTAGTATGGAGGAGACGACGGAGCTGCTGTCCCAGGCCTGTGTTCTCGTAGGCAGCTTTATTTAGTTTGG